TTTTTCCTAAAAAGACGACTACGTTCCGCACCACCTAAAACAAAACTATTAGCCTATAAAACCTTAATCCGCCCATTATTAAAATACGCCAACTTAGTCTGACTCCCGGCAACAAAGAACCTAATTAAAAAGCCAGAAGGGGTACAAAGGAAAGCAGTTAGAGTTACCTATAGTAAATAAAGTTTGCTCGACTCACCCTCTGAACCGATTGCAAGAGCCGGGCTACTAACATTACGAAATCGCACTAAACTCACACGCCTAAAAATGCTCTTCCAACTTATTCATAGGCAGCTAAACATCCACACCTTGAGATTCATATCTACTTCAGAAACCAGACAGTCACGCCATAAACATTCACTAACATTACAGGAATACCGTTTCAGCACCCACTGCTTCAAGTATTCCTTCTTCACACAGTCAATTAGAGAATGGAATAGATTGCTCGCTTGTCTGACTAATACTAAAGATAGGAATACTCTTTATCTTTACTTGAAAACCACATTCGTGATACTCATAGCTTAAATATTGTTTTTCTTTTCTATGCTTTTTTGCTCGCTTGTGCAGTTCTTGGTGCTTCTTGAATATGTCAGTGTCATCAGTGCATTACGTAGTATAATATTTTTGTGTATATCTGCCAGACATAGGTTGTGATTTTATACTCTTCATGTACCATTATAGAATATCTGTTGTCGTGCATTCTCGCATGCAAGTGCAAGTGTATCTATTGTGTATTTGGAAGTATATGTATTTCTTGTGTATTTTGTTTGCCCTCCTGCAATAGTCCCCATTGGGACTGGCAATATGTAAAATAAATGAAAAAAAATGTTCGGTCAAAGTGAGTTATGCTCTTTTGGGGTGAATGACCTGGAACCTCTTAATAGCATTTTGGTCGAGATAGACACTCAGCTAAAGCACGGAAGATAGATGGGCAGCCAGGCACTTGAAATTATTAGGAGAGAGCTCTACGACCATCTCAGGTCAGATGAAGACAGGGGTTGTTGCAACACAGCCATGGAAGAAAATTCAAGTTCATTTGCAAGTGATGTGGCTATCTGGAAAGGTGCAATCAAAGGTACATTGCCTTCGGCAGCGCATACGCTGTGAGATAGCTCTGATGTATGAGCTAGTGATGACACCGAGCAACAGAAGCCGAGCAACAACTGACACCGAGCAACAATGACTGCGACAGAAAACCAGTCGGTGGCCGAATGCTGTGTAGCACAGGCTGCAGTAGTGGGTGACATCGGTATCGTAGAATACCCTGTAGACAAGCCTCCTCAAGAGGCAGTTACATTAATGTCTCGGGGTAGTGCAGAACAGAGTTGCTTGAGAGAACTGGAACAGAGTGCGGAAACACTAATAGAAGAACAAAGAATAGACTCTCAAGTTCCGTACTCATTCTATGATGATGAAAGTAGCCAAGATGACACAGGTGAGAGTGTTAATCATGCTGAAGAGCTAAGTGGATATACAGCTGAATTAACAGAAAGGAAATCCGAAAGAGTCTTATTTCCCCAGTTCACTGCTATTGAAGCAGTGGGGAAGAAAAGTTGTGCTCTTTGCCATCTTACAATGACCAGGTCAGTTCTTATATGACGCCTGGACCATTAGAGGCCTACGAGTCCAAGCAAGGCATTCATGCCGTCTTTCAGACACTGTGGTACTAGCGTGCTTGGAGGCAACGCGTCGAACAGTATGACAGACAAACCTGCATCGACGCTAGCAATTGGATGGTTGAGCACCTGATGTTCCATAGCTGTAGGTACAGGCGAGCCTACTGTCGAAGACTCTTTCACAGTCATTCCATTCTTGCCTCCAACCAGGTGATCAGGGCTATTCCGCTCTTGTGTAAGACACTATAACTTGAGAGTTAAGCAGAAATTACCGGTGGCTTTTTTGGATCTCGATTGTGGAACACGGAAGGGTATCTCTTGTATATAGTTGAGATTATGAACTTGCATGCAATCTGGAGGGTGACATGATGTACAGTTTTTCATGACAGTGTATATAAGTACGAAATAGTAGTATGTGCAACAGATCCATATTGGGTTTCAGAACTCAAGTCCAATTGAGTGTATTTAGTGCTTCCGAATGTGGTAATTGGGACGATGTTTAGTGAACTGTGTGGGGGACATATATGTAGTGAATCTGTGATGTGGTGCCAAACGCACACTTAACGTTTTTTTTTTTTTGAAAAAAAAAAACTTAAATGAAAGGGGGGCCTCTGTGATGAAGTGCGTGGAATTTAAAGTGGTTAGAGTGCGTGGAACTTGAAACAGACGAAACGAGCGGGATCTGAAGTGCGCGCCATGAACAAAGTTGAAAGTCGGCAAGGAAGAAGAAGCTGGCACGGATGTTAGTGAATAACAAGAAATGACTGAAGCGCTCAGTTTCACAAATGACTGAAACGATACAGTGAAACAGAGGAGTCGCAGTGGTGGCCCGAGGAAGACTAGCCACGCATCATGGCGGTCGGGTTTCGGACCCGAGCCAAGGCTGCTATCTCCATCGTCCGGTGACCTGAGGGGCTCCAGGACTACCAGGCTGTGCTGACGTTCCCGTGCCCATGGACAGCTCTGAGCTATCGATCTTCGGGCTTGAGCTCAGGCGAGGCTGTCCGGCCGGGACTCTACCTCGAGGCCAGTGCGTAAAATGCAGCGTCAGCTAGTGCAGCGTCCACCGGCAGCCTTGGAAGGTTGCTTCTCCTACGGTTCCTGTAGCTGCCCAACGCTGATGCCAACTACGACGACGACTGCATAGACCCCGTGCTTCGCGCCTAAGCTCCTACACAACAGCGCGGGTGAGATGCCACTGCTTTAACATTCCCCGACACACTCTCTGTATAGGAACTGCATGCTTAGGACTTTTGTTTAGGGACTAATATACAGCTTCTGTATTTATTGGTAACAGTATCCGACAGATAAGACTCGTTATATGTGGGTTAAGTGTTCTCAAGCTATTGTTATTAGATGCTTGCATCAAACGGACTCATCCTTCGAAAAGTGTCCTGAGGTGATTCCTCGGACCTCCCAAATCGAACCTGCGCGTTGTGCGAAACAAAAAACCACAGCGTTACAAGGACCACCAGCTACCACCCCTGCGTCAACAGGATGATAGAGCACTTACACCGGCAATTCAAAGCAACCATCATGTGCCACCTGGACTTAATGTGGCTCGAGGCCATATCCCAACCGTCAACCTAGGTCTTCGCAACACCTTAAAGCCGGGCATTCAGGCTATGGCCTCTGAACTAGTCTACGGGAATCCCTCCGTTTCCCAGGCAAATTTCTCACTGCAATGCCGTGCAACACTTTCGACATCCGATCCCACCGACGACACCATGCAGCATTGCCCCCCTCTGCCCGTCTCCCACAGCCCACCATCGTAAACATACACCTTTCGTCTTCAGTAAGCTAGCAACATGCACAAATGCTTCTCTTCGCAATGACACCGTCCACAGCCCTTTCCAGCTGCCCTACAGAGGAACATGCGTGGTCGTCCAACGCAGCGGCAAAAACTTTACCCTGGGCGCAAATGGCAATGTCAGTGTTTCTATTCATCGGCTGAAGCCAACATATCAATTCCGGCATACCAGAAAATGCCAGTTCTTTCACAGGCATCTATCAACAACTGCTGACATAGCAGCCCGCTTTTGTTACAAAGCGCTATGGATGCGAGGGAGGTATGCTTCCCAGACTTCTACAAGCTCTGAGAGCTTTCCACTTTGTGAGGGGGGAGGGCGATATGAAGACACAATCTGCATAGAATTCCATGCAGCCTCCTCCTGCCTAACATTTAGCTCCGCATGACATGACTGCTGCACTTCATTCGATAAGCCACAGTGTCACCTCAGCACCACCCGAAGGAGACGTCATCGACGGTCACTACAAAACCAGGCTGCAAGCTTGCAAGATCATCATTGCTCGGCTACCTCAGACGAGCGTCGCGTCGGAATGCTCACCCGATGCTGCTGCTATACTAGTTGAATAAACAGTTATGTTTTCTTGTTGGGGTCCGTCCTTCAGTTGACAAGGCATCCCACAACATTTATTCAGTGTATTGCTACCTATACCATAAAATTATATTAGTGTTATGTAATAAAATGGCTTTAGAGGTCTTCTGTTGAACCTATGCATAGCGGCAATCGAGATTTGACATGCCATACAGAATCTTGCTCGACTTTTCAGACAATGTTTATGCAAAATTGTGAGACAGAAGATGTAGGCTAATGGCTATCGAACATGGCATCATCCCCAGTTGCCTTCTGAAGAAATAGTGTGAAAAGCCATACACAGTCACCGGGAACAAGAGCACCATAATTCTGGCTGCCACTTCGATTATACAACACATTGCAACACTGTATGTTCATTGGACTCAGCAGAAAGTAGAGTGCAACAAATCTGGACAATACCTGAGGCTTTGATGCAAGCCGACGACTGTACAAGTTCCGCTCATGCTTGATATTGGCTCTACTGTGCCTGTGTTTCTTCTGGCTTTCCGCATGCCACGTGGCCACATAATTACGACTTGGTTGATGTGGCATAATATGTAAATATGCGAACTGCCTCTCAGGTTCAACAAAACTTACTTTTCCAACAGTGCACCACATTAACCACAACATTATAAAAGAAACAGAAGCACATATAGAAGGAAAGTTATATAGGCGGACAAATAAAACTAATTGATTCTTGAAATGAATCTGAGTAACACAGCAAGACGAGCTAGTTCATATGGATGCACAATTTATTTTTAGCGCACACTGGCACACGAACAAAGAGAGGGAGCGACACCAGCGGTGGTGTCGTCCCCTCTTTTTGTTCGTGTGTTGGTGAACGCTAAAAGAGTAAAATTGTACTGTTAAACAAAAACACAACTTAAGATGTGCACTTATGATTTACAAGTCCATACCTGAAGATACTAATAAGACTAACACCTGTACATGTGTTCCATTATGCAAGTACCAGCTGGCATTTTCTGTACAAAATATGAAAACCACTTACTTCTCCCATGGTCGGTTCATCTGCCTTGTATGCATCCAGTCTTTGATACAACATCTGTGCCAGGTCCATGTTGTGATCAAAATCACTGCAAAATGGTGGCACCAAATGGTCAAAATTTACACTGCAAAAGTGTGTACATTGCAACAAGCAAGAAGTTCTGCCGATGTATACAGCGGACATACACAAGGATGCAAAAGAAATAAAGAGACAATGGCTCCAAACCAGAACAAAGTTTACAAATCAGCTTGTGGCAACACATCCTGTGGAAATCATTCACCGGGCTGCGTAGAAGTGTCGCGTAGTGTGCGTCACCACAATCTTGAAAACCCACGTGCAAAAAGGGTGTATGTTTTAATCATAAGTAGTGATATGTTTAGCTAGGCAAAAATATATTCCTGAATGGTGAAAACAGTCATGCTTTGCACAAATTTCTATCGACACGTCCTTTATTATTAGCGCTGAGGCTTAGACACCCAGTTTTTGTGTAGCCTACTTATGTATCCCCCAGGCACTCTTCTATTGTGCAAACACTCATGCCTACTCTTCTGAGACTAGCGAAATTCCTACACTTTGAACCAGCACTGAGTCATTTAGTGCTACATTGCAAATATTGTGCAGCACCTTAGTGCCTACTTTGAGCCCAGAGGGAAAGAGCCAGAGAGGGAGCTGTAAGCAAATTGTCATTGACTGTACTGTTTTTTTTTTCTCCAAAACTTTTGAACACACAGAAAAGCCCTTTGCAGTCTTCTACAAGTCTGTACCTTGACATTGAAACCTTACAAGTACACTTTGCATGGCACCTGTACAAATACAGAATTTTCTCTTATACTAGAACTGATGTTCCTGCCGGGGTCAGGCAACACTACTTTTTTAGTTATTAGCCATAGCAATCAAAATTTTTGTGATATATTTGTAGTAGTATGCTAACTTCCACAGTAAGTGCCATATTTTTATACTAACAGGAAAATTGTTAACTGCGTACACTAGTCTGTGGTCACATGGCAGGGCAGCTCTGATAATTGAAGTTTATGCCACCAGGTGGTGCCCAAGGCTATTTACACAATTTTCAATGCAAGCGTTGAATTTGTAGTGAAATTTCACTATTGTAATTACATGCACGCAATACATAGGACACTCATGGGGAGCTATTGTATAGCTCTGCTCCTATTTATAAAAGAACAACAAATCTGTAACACACAAACCATACAGCTCATAAAAGCACCGTCAGACAATACTGCAAAAAGTGGAGTCTGAAGCTTCAGAGTACAAAGAATGGTGAAAATATTGCATTATGGGCATGCAAGAGGCATGTAAACTATACTATGCTGAAATACTTGCCCTGCATATGTTGTAACATTTTGAACAAAAGGAAATTATCTAAATGGGTCTTAGCAAAGCGGTATTGCGCTCTCCCTTAATATATAGAATGAAGGCATTTTCGCAAAATCCATTCTCAAGGGTGAAATGTTTACAACGATCTTAAAATCTCAAGTTGCTTGAAATTTTAAAAATTCTGAGTAACAATTTCTACTTTTTAAAATGTGTAAATCGTGAAGTATTACTTCTCAAATCAACAATATCATTATGAGTCACCTTACGAACTATACTTTCTGGCCTGTACCATATGAACTATACTTTCTGGCCTGTACAGCCGTCTTGTCTGACAGAACAAATTAAAAATAACAAAACTACACAGTTTTACATATTATTGCCACAATATTATGATGGCACATTCTGTAGTAGCAGACTTTGCATTAAGCATTAATTTTGAGTCCTTGAGGTTTTTTATTGTGGAACTGAATTTAAGTACACAAGCATTTTTGTATTTAAACACCACAGGAATGTGACATATATAGCCACGAACTGCACCCTCATGCTTAGCATTAACCTGGTTGTACAGAAAATTAGCTTGGAAAGTATGAACAATATGAATAGTAAGCGAATGGGCCATTAACACTTTTTAAAGTGGCAATGTCACTCCTCTTATATATTAGTATGATGGCATTTTTCGAACTCTGGCTACACATTTGAAATCCTGAGGCATTACAAATAAGGAGTTGCAAGGTTTTCCAGTGAAATATGTGCTTGATCTTATATTACGTCACCTTGCATTCTACCTTTTTCCTGTAGCCTTTAAATGAGACATGTTTTTCTAGCCATTTTAGCTACATAACAGCAACGCGAGGACGGGACCTTTTACAAGTTTTTTCGGTGCCATGAAAAGCTTAATTATGAGCAAATTGTAAATAGCAACACACTACCATGTTAGCTTAAGTCACATAACCTGAGTGCCATCACTACAATGGCATTGCAACAGATGCGTGTACCATATTTGCTGGCGTAATCCTCGCACTTGCATAACTCTCGCAGCCCCCACATCGCCCAACAAAAATACAATTTCTTTTTTTCCTCGAGTAAATATTTCACCCCCAAAAACTACTACAATAACGTCGCCTGCTCGTTCCAGCCACTAATGATGATAGCGCGTGCCATATGGCACTATCTCTTCAAGCATCAAGCGTACTATTATTGCACGGATATTCAATCCAAGCCAAGCCAAAGTGGCAAGTGCGCGTTGCGGCATGTTTTGTATGTTGTGTCGGTAATCTTGTCAAGTTATGGGGCGATACTGAAGCTACACGGCTGCTTTCAAGTTGAAAGTGATAGATCGTGCACTAAACAACGGCAACAGGGCCGCCGGTAGGCCCTTCGGAGTCTACAAGGTTTGTGTTCGCTACTGCTGACGGCAGCTGAAAGCCACCAAGACGCGTTGGGCCTGCCGTGTGCCTAAAACTGGGATTGATGTTAAACTTTATTTCTCCAGAAGGAAACTGCGGACGATTCAGTTAAATAGCCATTAGCCCAATACTGACGTTCTACGCTTATCTTTTGAGGGCGCATGTTGAGCGACGCACGCTACCGCTACGCCCGCAAGCTTTGCGTATGGTATTATAAATCTTGACTATTTGTTTGCACTTTTTGTGTCTCGAATAAATCTTGCCTTGTGTTGAACCTGTGCTTTTATTGTTGAGGTAAGTTTTAATTAGCACTTCTCAAAGCTTGCTGTTAGTTGCTGGTGTGAGAATTCCGATTTACGGCCACTTCATTTTCTTTTTCGCTCTGCGTTTTTATGGGAAGTTTTCCCCGCGTAATTCTCGCGCCTTCCAACTTTGCATCGGTTTTTCGCCAAAAAAAGTGCGAGGATTATACGAGTAAATATGGTAATAGGTGACTTCTTAAATTCGCGTGGATCACCCGGAGGAGTCTGCAACCACACCTCAGTTAATGCCTTTCACCATACAAAATGAACTGAATCTCACCTCCGGTACCGCAGAGATGGGTATTCGCCCAGCGTTGCACACAATGTTGCCACTTGCTCCGCAATGCGTTCCAGGTTGGAAGTGCGTTCGTTTATGCGGTTTGGATTGTAGTAGAATTGGAATGTCTCTGGAGAGTCCAGAGAGAAGACCTGCAAAGAGGGAATTTGAAATTACACTAAAACTATCCAGAGGAAAAAGATTTCTTTTTTTCAGCAATATACAGCCAGTATGTAGTGTTAAAAAATAAATGCCATTTTTAGTGCACAAGACAAAGTAAACAAAGAAGGCAACAATGCTTCAATAAAAGTGTCTGGCAAAAATATATATGTTAGTCTATCCCTTTCAGTTATGGTGTGTACAAATGTACGTGCCAACTTCAATGTCACATCACGCACTGCGTGATGCATCAAATGGTTTGAAACTTAGTGTGCACATTCATGCAGGCCTTGTAAGTGGACAACTGGCGATACTTTAACTTCATTAAGCTGCGTATTGCTGCAGAGGATCACTTTGCTGGATGCACTACTATGTTCGACGATTGTTCAACGTCATGGTTTCCAGGACCAGCGTGAAAAGTATTTTTTGTCTTTGCTCAAAGCAAATACAACCGAAAAACAAACTGTGCATGCATTTCAGGCCTAATAGTGGATTCTTTGATGAGAGTACTGAAGCTTACTGGTGGCAAAATAATTAGATAATTGGTTACACTCATTAACTTGAATTACAAAAACTCGCCCAGAACAATGCTTCGTTTTAGTACTATGAATGTAATATTGAGTGCCTTGGAATTATGCCATGCGAATTTGACGCGTTTCTGACAGTGCATCATAAATCATGAGTGAAGGGGCTATAGTAAAGCTTGTTGCTGGGCTAGCTGGTTATTACTTGTAATATGAAATATTAGGCTTGCAATATAGTAGCTGGTATCACTTTCTTGTAATATGTTAGTCTATTACGTGTGTCAAGCAGCTTAGACCATTGCAACATGATCATGCAAAGTCATACATTGCAACATGAACATGCAAAGTCATATGAATAAATTTTGAAGTATAGAGCTCACTGTAGCAGACAATACAATATGCTACTCTTAATTCCAGAATAATAACAAGTGTAAAAAAAGAAATTGATGTAAATGCACATGCCAACCTGTATACTATCACCTGAGCCCATCGTTGTCCCGTTTTCAATTTTAATGTGACAATTATTGGTAAACAATTATTGGTTATGGTGAAGGCATTATGCCTTCACCATAACGTTCCACATCAAGTTTAAATCAACAATATAGTACTGCGCAGCACATTTAGGTAGTTTGTGTAAATGAAAGCACATGAGGGATGTTGCTGGTTGCGGCTCAAGCACAGATCAAAGGTGCTAGCCATCTCTGTTGAACAAAAGCCCATGGAGAAATGCCAGAGTGGGGGGGGGGGGGGGGGGCTGCATCACTTTGCCAAGAACTGAGAACTTTGTGAAACAGGTGCAGTTGCATGCAAGCTACCTCAACGGAGATCAGCAGGTGAACCATACCTTAGTACATGATGTGCTGTCACTTATTAAATTGTACTGAAGTTAGAGCACAAAAGCTGCTCTGTTTACTGCAGTGGCCATGTTCCCTTACGCAAGCGTTTTGTAGAGCATTGACAGATCAGATCCTAACAGAGTTAGCTGCTAGCCTTATATCATACAACATTACAATTCATTGCTATCACATTTAGTGCATTGTTGGTGAGGCAAACTTTATTTTAACCCTGTAACCAGGTCTCAGATAGATGTTCAGAGGAAAGTGTATGTATCTTGTTTTTGTTTTTAATAAATAAAAGGAAAGAGTAACTCTTGAGAATTCCTAGGTCTTTTGCTGGCATAGTAGTACATGTCAAGAGAACAATGAGCTTAAATTCTTCAATGGCCTTTTGGCATGTTAGGTGCCCCGAGGGGGATAAAATGTAAAAACTTTTGTGTAGTTAGATTTACCGTGAAAACTAGAATATAGATCGAATTTTTTCCAGAACAATGCAATGAAAGCTTTACCCTAGCCTTTTACACCGATGATTGGCAGAAAAAGATGTGGAAGTCTCGCAACAATGAGGAGCTGAAGTAAATATTCCATTACCATTGTGAGCATCAGCAGTGGTACCGTTGGGCAAGGCTAAGCAAGGCCTATAGTGTACTAGCAATGCCAATTTTCTTCGGTTTTCTTTGTCAGTCTCCTGTTTTCCTTTTTTTATTTCCTTCAGGAATTACTGGTAGTCGACGGCAGTTTTCGATAGGCTTTAAGAAAAAAAATTATTGAGTACGCCGAAGAGCACGGAAATCTGGCGGCACAATGGGAATTCGGTGCATCGAAGAAAAGCATCCTACACTGGAGGAGCCAAAAACAGCACATCCCACCCCGGGGAAAAAAAAAAACAAAAACACCGACTAGGTTCTGGTTGGCGTTGCTATGGTCTCTAGAATATACTGGCTAGTCTGCCGTCTCCGCTCTCCGCCGCCACTCAGTGATGCATGGGGTGGTGGTGCTGTATGCTATCGGAGTTTTTTGAGCAGACGGCCCTCCCGCGACTCCCACCTACAGACGGGCAGGCGCAGCCGTTTGCAACTGCGCTTTGGTGATTGTTATAGCTCGAGAACAGAACGGCGACAAAGCGACAAGAAGCGTTCTGATCTCGCGCTATAACAACTGTCATGTCATACCAGCTCACCCAAACCGCCATGCGTTTTGGTGTTCGCGTGACTTTCCAAGTCTGTGGTGTTTATTACAAATGCTAATATTGTGTATAAATTAGTGGTGGTGTTATGCCTTGGGTGCCCACCTTTTCACTTCGTAGTCGGTTTCCACCCTGGACTAACGGTAAATGAACTAATTTGTTTTTGCTTTCCCACGCAAAACTGCTGTTGCCGTCGCTTGTTGGAGAAATACCTTAGGCTCTTTCTCGGTGGTTTAGCTCTCGTATCTTTTTATTATGCATGTTTACCTTTTTTAATTATTTAATGATGACGTGTGCACTTACAAAATGAAAACTCATACCGGTATCTAAACGCGATAAGCCGAACTAAAAGAAAGGCGAAACGCAGGGTGAATCTGTAATGAGTGTTCACTGTTCAGAAAACAAAAACAATTTAGAGTATCTTGTTGGGCGCGTACAGCATAAATCAAGCAGCCCCTTTACCTCAATAAATTCAAACATAGCAAAGCAAAGAAATAATTGCAGTGTGAGACAAGTGAGGTGGGCGAGCGGTCAATCAATAACATTGAGGAGCACATCTTGTTAAGCGTTCTTTAATTGTGCCACGAATGTGCCTTTCGTGAGCATGTGAAACAGTGATAAAGAAAGAAATATGTGCAGTTGTACATTTAATTTTTCTGTGTTTTGTACGACTGAAAAGATTGAAATTACCATCCACCGTTCGCGCAAATAATGCCCACTTCACACCTATTTCGCGTTCATTCTCGCAGCCTTCAACAGTTTTAAAGAACAACCGCATATGGGGAAGAGGGCACAAAATACAACAGTAGTAATATAATCTAATATATTAGTAATATAATATGGTAATATAGTATAGCAAGTAATAATAAAGTAATATACTATAGTAAGTAATAATCACGAGAGCAGTATTATACATCTGATGGCATGAGAGGTTGATACACATATGCTTCTGATAGCATTTTGTGCGAATGTTCTTCTGTTAAAGTTTGAGGAACTTATTTCTCGCTTAATTATATTGTCTGGTCCTAAATAGTTTGAACAAAATCATACGAACTTTTCTAACTGTGCACTAAAAAAATAAGATTTTAACTGATGCCTGCTACCGTGTGTGATGAATTTTTCCATCTCATTCTGAAAATATCATTGTGTTTCTTTTTTCTGTGACACTGAGAACCAATTTGTATTAATCAGAGACTTAGTGCAGTAAATATGTAGTGATGTTTTTATTCTCAGAAATGTTTACATATGGCCGGGAAAACTGAGCTTACAAATGGTAGTTCATACGTTTGTGAGAACAAGTTAATTTTACTTATATTATAATGGCAGCCTTTCTAAATACACAAAAAATTTCTTATTATGCCCTTTAGTTTTTCTTCAAGCAACCGCGTCCTGTTGAATAAGTGGCTAGTTCCGCCACTGTGATCACGGCAGTGCCTCAAAAAGAAATGACGTTGGATGTAACATTTGGTCCGTTTAAGACTGTTCAGTCACCGCCCACTCAAACAGAAACAGAATGAGTAGTTCATCCGGGAGTACAATAATAAAAGACAAGGCACAATGCGCCACAGATTCCCCCCTGCGCAGCCTACGCGAATGCGCCACACACTCGGATAGACTGCAGCGCCCCCTGCGCATGCATAAGCGGCATGGACGTGGCCTTGGATGGGGACGGCGTGGAGACTGCAGACTAGCCAGTATATTCTAGGGACCATAGCATTGCATAAGTCTGTTGCCAAATTTAGGGGTCAGTGTTGCCAGACTGCCACCAGATTTTAAGGATAAATTTGCCCCTGTAGCTGTGCCTTTCCCATGAGGGCTTTGTGTCGTCAGCGATGCATTCCGCGAATGCGTGTGCGAAGTTGGTCATTTTAAATCACAGATTGAACGTATAACCCGTGTTGCGCAAGTTGGCGTGCATTTGCTGTGTGTGCAGCTGTGCAATTAAGAGGCCGGACACGATCGTGTCTCAGAATTAGGAAATCAACGCGCAACGGCGCATATGAGTACACGCTGAAAGGGAACTGAATCTGTGCGGCGTGTTTCAATACACCGGGCTTGTGTCGCCGAAGCAGGGAATATCTACCCAGCTGTGCATACTAGTTGACTGCGCACAATGACACATTTTGGGGGAAACTGAATTTTGTGGACGGACTGAAGTGCACCCCGAACTGGAAACGCTACTCGCCAAATTCGTCCCGGAGCTGCGTGCAAGGTCGCTACCTGTGACAGTGGAGTGCATCCGCGTGAAAGCTATTGAGATAGCGCGCGACTCTGGACTCACGAGGGCACAATTCAAGGGCTTGCCATTGTGGGTGCACTGATTTCTGAAGCGAAAGGGCTTTGCGCTAAGGCGGCATACTTCCGTGTGCCAAAAACTGCTTGAAGATTTCGCTAACAAGCTGATTGAGTATTAGTGCTTTGTCGACAGCATTGTTACATGATGGGACACACGGGCAACGCTGACAAAACTCGCTCTGTTTCGATGTGCCTTCGAACTGGACTGTGACCGCTAAAGGATCCAAGCAAGTGAAGCTCTTGACAACGAGCAACGAGCATTCAGGATTTACAGAGATGCTCGCACGCACAACCGATAGAAAGATACTGCCCCCTTATATCATTTTCAAGAGAAAAGGGTTACCAAAAGAAGACTTTCTTTTGAATCGAACGAAAAATAGTTCATTAATGAGTTCCTCATGCTTGAGTGAATCCGGCTCGTGTGAAATTGGCAAACTGGTGCACTTTTTCAGTGTCTAAGCATGTTGGTGCTCGACTCATTTCGAGGCCACCTCCAGACTGATGTAAAAAGAGCTCTGTCCGATGGCAAGACGAACCTTGTCGTGATCACTGGGGACTAACATCAATCCTCCAGCCATTGGACATAGTACACAATAAACCCTTCAAAGATCATGTGCACGAGCTCTACAATGAATGGATGCTGCGTGACAATCCCAAGACCCTCGCTGGCTGGCCACCTACATCGTCCACCTCTCGCGACCGTTAGTGGCTGGGTGTCGTCAACTTGGAAATCTCTCCTGGAAGAAATGTTGCACAAGTCGTTCTGCAAATGCTGCGTCAGCAACGTATTGGATGGAATGGAGGACGATGCATTCTGGGAGTAGTGAGAAAGAGACGTCGTTGGATTTAAGTTAGGCCGAGTCTGACTGATAGCACTCGGTGACCTTCTGGCGGTCAACTACATAAGATTAGTTTCAAAATAAAAAGAAACGTCACCACAGTGCAACTGGTTGTATCGCGTATTTATAAAAAGAACGGGGGCACCACGATACTTTGTGATTTTTAAAAAATTTTTTTCGGAGGCAGCATCGAGGCAAGCCCTTGCTCCTCATGGGAGGCCTAGGAGGCTAAACCCCGTATTCTAGAACGTTCCTTCACTCAACGCTTCCCCTTCACTTGAGAAAGCCGATAGGAGCGCCGTCTCTAGGCACGACAAGTCACTGCATATCATCGACAATCTGATGCGATTCTTTAGTGGCGCAGCGTCATTTTCAGCCGAGCGGTGGCGTAGTGCTCAACTCAGTCCAGTGGAGGGTGGAAGCCTAGTCGAGGAGCGTTTGTGAATATGGGGGTAAGCCATCTAAGCCTGCTGGTTTCTTACAATAAAGTTCATTCCTCCTCCTCCTCCTCCTCAAAATTCGAAGTTGGGCAGTTAACCTATATTCCAGTTTTTATGGTAGGTGCACAAGACAGAACACTGGGCACGAAAAGTTCAGCTGGACTCCCCCACTATTAGACCTCTCATAATTCACATTGTACTCTGACATAAAAAATCCAGAAATTTTAATTATCACTTTGGTATTGCTCGTTGGCTTCCAGAACACTGCCGCCGTCTAGGCTGAATTCCTAGGCAGAGGGTAGAAGACATTTTGCATACAGATGGTATCAAAGTAAATAAATTTTTAAGGCAGCTTATAATTAAAATGGAAGGCTTTGCAAAGGTGTTCAGTAGGGCCACGGTTTTTACACCATAACCAACATCGGCCAATACGGAGAGCAATCTTATCAACTTTAATGTCTTTCTGTATTACAGCGCCGCCTGCTCAACTCTCCAGAAGAATGTCAAAGCAGGCCCGAGAAATGTTGCATCCTCCCTCTTAACTGCAACATCACTGTGAAGCAAAGCGTAGATTTTGACCGCGTGCAGTTAAAGCAGACCAGCAGAACCCTGCCCAAGCAGACGATCATGCTTGGAACACATTTGTTCAATAGCCTTGACAGCTGCTGCATCACGTGACATGCAATGTAAATGCTGACAGTTTTGTGGGACACAATGTACATTTTGTGCTTCCAAACCTAGCTAGCATATGTGAAAAACCATGCAATATTATATGACTGGTATCGCCGTGCCTCAGCACTGCAGGGTTCACAATGGTCAACTGCAGTACATAGATTGGCAGATTGTTTTATGTAAGCAAACACTGAGCCTAATGATATGTGCTCATATGCCTCTACCAAATTTTTTTTCCTTACAGAGCATTCACTCTAAACTACTAATCAATTCCTTTAGATTACAAAGCACAGAGTTTATTTTCTACATGTGGAATAGAAGGATAATATGATGCCTGCACAACACTTATATTAGAGATGTCACAAAGGGCTAAACCATGGGCGCCCTCCGCTGACAAGGAAATGCTATGTAGCACACGGAGGACATCACAGGGTAACTGGCATTGGTCACTAAGGGAACGAAGAAAATGAGACTTGCGCGCAGATCACATCTCTCGTCAGATTACGGTCTGCCCACTCATGGCGGGAGGAGATGTGCATGAGACATTCGCACCTTTTTTGGGTACTCCTCACTATTGCACAACAACTGTTACAGTTTGATTGATTTGTGGGGTTTAACGTCCCAAAACCACCATTTGATTATGAGAGACGCCGTAGTGGAGGGCTCCGGAAATTTTGACCACCTGGGGTTCTTTAACGTGCACCCAAATCTGAGTACACGGGCCTACAACATTTCGGCCTCCACAACAACTGTTACAGTTGTATCTGCATACATTGAACTCTAAAAAATGGGTATTAATATGTCAAATATTGTGATATAAAGCCTTTAATGCAATCACTGTATTGTTGATATGAATGTGAATGTGCACGTAAGCTTCATAGCACCACTCATGATAATGTAAAGAAGGCACCTCGACAAAATAAGTTTTTTTTTTTATTCTGTATTTTTCCATAGTTACTACTTAGGAATGCAGGGTTATATGCAGGGGTAGGTTCTGACTGAAAAATACAGTATCGACATAAATAGAATCACAAATGTTCACATGCAGCTGTGTATACTTATCTAGCACCGAAAGCGGCTTTAGGGTGGGCTTTATTTTTCAACAATGTATACGTGTGCTTTTTGAAGTGCTCTATGCATAGGCAACATAAGGCTTCTTTTCCTAACATTCAACTGTATTTATTATTACCAGCTTTTTCAGAAAACAGCATGTTCTTCGATTTTATGGCATCCGTCACGTTAACAACGTTCATAAAGAAAGAGGAGAAGCAAATGTGCAGGACAGGCCTGGAGCACAATGACATGGAATCGTGGAGAAAAGCATGCGATGGCAAGCGGTAGTTTCTACTCACTCTATGCGACACCATTCTGACCATACCACTTGTGCTCCCATATAGATGCAGGAAAGCTCTTTCCATTAGAAAACTTAGATATTTGTACGAGAAAGCCAACTTGTGGCTTTTCATGCTGCCCTGAGAAGTTGGCCCGATGTTTGATATATCAACTGTTCCAGCTAGTATTTACATTCGATGTTGCTGGAGATTTTTCTATGCATTATTGTTCATTGCTGCATTCGAAAATAGCTTGATAGAAAGGATTATTTGATGCACCCATGTTCAGTATAGTTAGGTTCGACTGTACTGCCAAGGTTGCTGCTGTGACATGAAAACTTCAATTATTTAACTATTTAGCTAAATATGCTAGCAATACACAGAGAAGGCATCAAGAGTAACAGCAAGGTTTTGTATATTTGAAAGCAGCTGTACAATACAGTGAAAAAGAGCCCTAAAACACCGACCTGACTTTCATATGGCAGAAAAGCAATGTTGACTTCCTTCAACGTCTTTATTACTTTTGCCATGGATGATTTGCATATGTCTGTGAACAGGTCATCTGGACATTCTGAAACAACAAGCACACAATGATGTGGTCAAGAGGAATGATTTCTTTTTTTTCTTAGGAGACCAAGAAAAAATAATGCAAATTCTGGAAAAATGTCACTTTCAATAAAGACTTATTTTTGGAGGGAAATTATTTATTTTAGTGCGTGAAACTGTAAGCAAAAGAACATGACATGACAGGGTGCACGCTACAATAACTTGGTTCTTGATCACATGGCAGGAGTAAGAGTACACGGGAGAGATAAAGGGCAGACTGTCGACAGGACTCGCTTTAAGATGACTACACGATTGGTGTGCACACAGGTTCACAAATGGCATTTAGCCATTATCTAAGTACCCTTAACCCTTTCAGCCCTGAATTTTTTATTTTGGTCAGATACACTTTTTGTGCGCGTTTTTGTAGTAGTTAGGACCTCAGAAGACCAGAAACAAAAAATTGAGCCACTGGTACAAGCATTTTCGGATTAATTAAATGTGGCATCAAATTAGGTAATTAGGGCCCTGTGATTGGAAAATGAAAAAAGTGGCTTATTTTTTTCTGCCAATCATTGGTGTACACAAAATGGAAACCAACGTCTTGCTTTTCAGCCTAATACTTACTGAAACAGCTTCGGTACGTCGTCCCGAAAATGGCGCTTACCCGCTTCAACTTACGCGCCTCGGCTTCACGGAAGACCTCGGTCACGCTTCTTTTTTGTGGCTGCTACCTCCACAAACGTGTCGCAATATTGGTGTCAATTGCAGTGGGGATCATTGAAGAACTATGCCCCCAAGAATGAGCAGTATTGGTTACGTTTCCGAAATACTAGGGCAAAATTTGTGCGGTGGTGTCAATTGACACCGCCAGGGCCGAAAGGGTTAAGACACAACAGGCTATTAAGCTGTTTCTAGTAGTAATGGTACTGCACTGCAAGTGCTGCATTTTTAGTGGTGACATGTAGCAGTCAATAAAGCTTCAGTTACAATTTCCGGATGTAACAGCTGGGAAAAGAAACATAATAAATGGGGGGAAATGATTCTTAAATGAAAAGAAGAGAAAAGTGAGCCCCGTAACTGTCTCTCCGAGGGAAGACACCTCAATAGTAGCTCACGAGGGGTGGAGGTAAGGAGGGGTTAAAAGGATATAATTAAAAGGCATAGAGATAGAGAGAGGGGAAGGAGCTAATGCACATGGCTCTATAAGAGGCATTTAAGAGCAAAGTAGTTGAGGAAATGTAACATATGGGAACATATGCACAAGATTTAGCTGCAATCTTAAAAATTCAAAACTAATTAAATGGCATTTTTTTGTGAGAACAGTAGCAGCCCTCGAAAGCACACTGAAAGTAAGAGCTGGTGTGTTTCAGTGGTAAAAGAAGAAGAGCAGCAGCTCTGTCAACCAGAGGTACAAGAGTACTTCTGCGACACCGAGAAAAGCACAAAGTAATCTTAGGCACTCTTGTCTGGAAAGTGGAATGCGACATCTTACAAACGAGTTCGATTGACGTCAAAGTACTCTATCCGGCTTGTTTGTTTTTATTTTGCCTCAGCTGGCAAGTGCAGTGGCGATCAATGGCAGCAGCCAAACATAGTGGTTTGGCCAACTTATTTTGATATCAATGAGATAAAAATCTCTGTAACTATTATACACTAGAATCTGGCAGTCCTAGTTTATCTTGAATGTAGGCACCAGTACAGTCAACGACATTAACAGTGACGTGATTGACAAAAGCCATTTTGGCCCATCTTCTGGAGCAACTAAAATCTTACTTTGGAGTCACCTAACAACAGTTTAGAGTAGTTATTTGCCACACATTTCTGGCCGTAAACATGTCTCTAAGCTGAAGCTGTTCCACCCCGTGTAAAAAAAATCCATTAATGCATGCATACACGCATGTTCACTTGGTATACTCCTCAAGATGAAATTAGGCCACTGCTCTTTGTTTTTTTTGCAGACATCCCTAAGTCAGCTCAAGCTACCTAACACTTTCCAGAAATTAAATGTGTATTTAAATGATTCTGGCTTTCTCTGGAGGTTTAGTTACAACACGGACGCACAGTCAAAATTTTTAATGCATTCTAGCATTTATTATTTTTTTAAATGTCCAATTGCATTAATGCTTTTAGTACAACCTAGTCTTTCATTGTTTGGAGAAGTGTCTACAGTCGTGCTTTATGCACAGAATCGTTAGGACCCTGGTTAATGAGCAGCTCATAAGGAGCAGGGCTAAGTAACTGGTCACTTCTCTCCGTTATTGAATTCGTGCTCTACAAAATTGACAGTGATGGGGGAGTACGCAGTCACATTTGACAAGCTGTTTGACGTGTACAGTTGCTGAGGTCGAGAAGCCCAGCTGAGGTCTACCACAAGACTGGTACACCATGACTTCTCAGTGAAGTAACAGACACTTGGTATAGCTCATGGTATTGTTGGTAAAATCTGCCGATTGTATAGCCTTAAAACTCAGGCACCCTGTATAAATAATTTAGAAGTAATCTAGAATGAATAGCACTAAAAAAATAAAACTCGGTTGTACATATGAATTACTGTAATCAATTTATACAGGCAGTCAAGTTTATACAGGCAGTCGAGTAAGACTACCTACCAAAAACAACTGTCATTACTTTCCCCCGACTGTATCTATGACTGCTAGAAACTATTTTATTGAACTCAGTAATATCTTACAGTATGGTCTAGCAGTGATAGATAACTAATGCCGTAAGTTTTGCCGTATGGGCGAGTTGAAATCTAATGCAGTAAGTTTCGCAGTGTCGGCGAGTCAATGTTTGGAAAGTTTGCGCCCAGCAACTGCTTTAACTACGAAGGCTAATCAAATAAACAAGTAAAAACCGTTTGCTAATATTTACATATTCACGCAAGAGAATAAAGATTTACTAGTGCAGGGCCATCTGTTCATTCTTCATCAAGGTGCTGAAGTCATTGTTCTGGCTCAGCAGTTGTTTACTTGACAAGCAAAAGATGTGAAACTGTCCTCAAAAATCGCTCCTCCCACCAGTTGCAAACTGCGAGCTGTATAATACGATTTTCGAAGGCGAAATGAACATGACGTTCTCAAATTCGTGGGCAGTTGTGCCTAGTTCATGAACCTACACTGATGAGTGAACGAACTGCCAAGAAAACGGTGCTGATACTGCACAAATCGTCGCACGATTGGCACGAGGAAGAACGGAGTGGAAGGCTTAACATCAAGACCAGTGAAACTGTTCAACAAATGAACCGAGAATTGCTTTTAGATCAATGACAGTTTGTAATCCGTCAGATGAATTTGCTTTTGTTGAATGCTCTACAATTTGCATTGTTGTAACTGAAAAGCTTGAATATCACAAAGTGTGTGCAAGCTGGGTACTGAAAATGCTTACCGACCAACTCAAACAGCAAAAAATCAGCAGGCGGCGAACTACTATGATGAGGGATTAAAGAAATTGTTCGATTTAACTGATATGTAGGGTTTAACATGGCAAAACCACCATATGATTATGAGAGACTACGTAGTGGAGGGCTCTGGAAACTTCAACCACCTGGGGTTCTTTAACGTGCACCTAAATCTGAGCACACAGGCCTACAATATTTCTGCCTCCATCGAAAATGCAGCCGCTGCACCTGGGATTCAATACCGCGACCGGCGGGTCAGCAGTCGAGTACCTTAGCCACTAAACCACTGCCGCGGGCTCTAAAGAAATTGATACAGCGGTACTAAAGGGCTTACATGATCGCAATGTACATCGACGTCCAACACAAAACATGGGATTGTATTTTTTTGCTTTATGTGACGTTCGCTTAAAACACCGCCGTTGAAGAAACAACACGATTTACACTGTTTCGCCTTCTCTACAGCCGCGAAGTGAAGGCAATGCTAAATGCTATGCTTTCTTGTGAAGACGCCGATCAATTAACAATTGACTCTAAAGAATTTGCAGACCGTGCCGAGGAAACTCGCCAGCTCGTCCGGCTACACATTGGTCAGCAGCAACAGGTCGATGCACGATACAAAAACATGCGTCACAATGACGTATCTTAGAGTCCGGGAGACCTACTTTGGCACACGGGCCTACAGCATTTTTGCCTCCATGGAAAATGCAGCCGTTTAAGCCGGGATTTGATCCCACGACCAGCGGGTCAGCAGCAGACACCTTAGCCACTAGACCATTGCGGAGGGCCTTCAGAAATTGGTGCAGCAGTACTAAAAGTGCTAAGTTCATGGTGATTAATATGTGGGGTTTAAGGTCCCAAAACTACCATATTATTATGAGAGACGCCGTAGCAGAGGACTCCAGAAATTTCGACCGCCTGGGGTTCTTTAACGTGTACCCAAATCTGAGCACGCGGGCCTACAACATTTCTGCCTCCATGAGAAATGCAGCTGCAGCAGCAGAGATTGGATCCCGCGATCTGCGAGTCAGCAGCAGAGTATTTCAGGCACTAGACCACAGCGGTGGGGCAGAAGTTAATGGTGATTGTGTAGAAAAGTGAAGAAGGCTCATACAAAATGAAACCAGCCAATAGACACTTTTACTAACAAGTATTTATTTTTTGGAGACCAAACAGCCCTTACTTTACGAATGACCCTCGTACGTAGCACGTTCCTGCCTAGTGGTATCCTATGGCTTTTGAGTGCCTGCCATGGTGTTTTTCATCGAAAGAACGAAGTCTTCATGGATGCTTAGCACAAACAATAAAATTTCGCCAACATGTAGCAGGATGTAGCAGGTTTCACCTCTTGACACAGTTCAGCACAGTTGGTGCAACTATCACATCACTGCTTCAAAATGAGTGAAGTAATATTTGTAAGACGTATCGTCGCAGGGGTGAATGGGAAACACATGAATGAGGGACCACTTTCACAATCACGCGTGTTTTGCTACTCTCCCAATGAGAATACTGTAATGATTTTGGAAACATGGTCAATTTCTCTTCCCTTATCACATTCCCACATGCTCTCCAGATGCAAACAACATTCCAATAATGGATTGAGAGTCACTGCTCCCACTGTGCATGGCTTTGCTTCTGTTGTCCCAATGTTCTTCACCACAAAAGCTGCCTGAAACTGCGTAATGGTGCCATTATATGCTATGAATACTCACTCTCTGTGAAGAAAATGTGTGCACACCGGTACATGTGTCGGGCTGGTGTTTGGAAGTCCGACATCAAGGCACGAACTGACTGAAATGTAAAGGAAGCTTGGTCACATAATCATCAGTACAAACACAGTGTCAGACAAAACTGAAACAAGAACAACAAAATTATGCCAGAAAATGTTTTGGCTGCTAGAAAGTAACATCAAAGAACAGGTCCTCTCTGCTCAGAAGGTGTCAATCATACATGCACTGTAAATATCGCACATCTGAAAGATTCACTTCAGACCAATTGAATTATCTCTTGAATTATCACTTACGACCAATTGAATTATCTGCAATGCAAAACACCATCTCAGACCTGGACACTTGGCCTCACCTGATGCAACGATAGTGGCATAGTCAAGAATAATGAAGCCTGCAATGCATACAAATCTCTGCAAATCATCACGCGTAGTAAGCACAATCTCTACAATCAATCAGAGTTATTTAATAAGCAAGCTTTTCTTGTGGTCAACTACTTCATGTGCCAGTGACACGAATGTACATTGCATCCAGTTTTAAATGCACCAAATGCAAGATGCATTTGCTGAAGTGATAATGCTGATATATATGAGCTTGCCACAAGTATCCATGAGGTGACGATTACCACAAGCTGAAGACTGTAAACCAAATTCATACTACAATTAAGAGTGGTTAAATTTAATGCTGACAAAAAGCCATTGAACAAGGATAGCTGGTGGCTATTTCATTTCAAATTAGGCAAAAATGGCATTACTTAACATTAATGACTTCTCTGCATAATTGTACAATATAATGAAGAGCTACATCCTGTATCACTAGTGCATCATAAAGTTCCAGACATATCAATGCCTTTAGTTTATTAGTACCGGGCTTGACTTATTATTAAAGGGGCTCTGCAACACTTTTCAGCATGGTCAGAAAACGCTGCCGATCGGTAATAGAGGCTCTTGACAAAATGCGAGCCAAATATTATAGCGCAGCACGTGGCCTAAAATTCACAATAAATGATCAAAGTCAGCTGAAAATTGCTTTCTATTCTATCAACAAATGACGGAAGACACCCAAGAATCACCCATAGAAAGCCCACATATCAGCCATTAGCCGATTTCAACATGGCGCTCTCAGTCGCTAGAGAGATTGCCGCAAAAGGTTGCGACTTGTTCTCGCGCGCGCGCGATCACACTAAAAAATCCGCACATTCGAAAAAAAAACGGAAAAAGTTTAAGGTCACGAGGCACGCGTAACTTATTTTTTTGCCCCTGCCATCCCTCCCTGCTTAGCTTCCAGCGCTTTTGTCGGAACGACAGAATGCAATTACAACATGTGACAAATCTTTGTAACTTCACTCGCACTGGACGGACTCTTAAAATTATTGCAGCGTTGAATTCGTGAGGCAATAAGCTCTTCCAGTGAATTCATTCTATGCTTACTTTAAAAAGTGTTTCAGAGACCTTTTAAGCAAAAACTCTTTACGTCCAATGAAGCAGGATGCTGGCAAGTTTTAAAGCCATTTTTCTACTTTGAACACCACAGCACCAGTCATTTAAACAATGAAACATTATATGCAACTGAAGAATTGAGAGTTGTGCAAGCTGGTGGTGATGCATACTATAGGTTGTGAAATAAATACATTGACTAGAAGGAAAGGCGTGGTCAACAAGAGTGCAATTGGCAACATTTATAATAGTTTCATTTGTGCCTTCACTTCCCTGTGTTATCACACAAACCACAACAGTGGAGCAAAATCAGTCACATTTACCTCAGAGATTTCATCACGCTTCACATTAGGAAAAAAATTACAAGAAGTTTGGCCTGCTGCACCAATGATCCCTCTGATCAGATGTCGGCAAATACAGAAAGTTTGGCATCTTAACCACTGGGCTGCACACGAATATACAAAGTTTGGCATCTCTCACAATACTATAACTGATTTACTTTAAACCTCAATCCTTCTAATGAATGACTGAGATTGTGCGAGCAATAGCAAATGACAGCCGTACAGTGACTTAATGAATGATCACGCCAGCAACCTATCACTGCACTGAAATACTGCATCTTTAAATGGACACTAAAGGCAATTATTAAGTCGACGTTGATTGTTGAAATAGCGGTCCAAAGACCTCGTAGTGTTACTTTTGTGCAAAGATAGGGTTTATTTTGAAATAAAATCACGTTTTAGTGGTCCGCGTCAGGTTAGCACACTTCGAATTACGTGCCTCATTGGAACCTCTGACATCACTGTTGCCGTGCACAACGTTGCCCGGCTTTAATCTGCGGCTGCCGACACTATAGTAGCAGCAAAGGGAAATTAGCGAGAGCCACAGCAGCAACAACGGCCATTGAACAATTTTTAGCCATGGCCTTTAAAATTGCAGGTGTGCTTGGTTGAAGTGGGCCCTGCTAGATGGCACAACCTGTCCAGTTTAACCAGGCAAAAATTGAATTTTCGAACCACTCGCGCCATTACCAATAGTTATGCCTGGCATTTTTTTTTCTTCCATGAATGAAACAGAAATAAACAAGCAGCATTTTATAACGTCTCTTGATGCACGGAAGGTTCTTTATTTAGTGCAGCTAGATCAATTACAAGTGATTAATTATAGGCGGTATGTCTGACATCATCAAGATCATATTGCAAACTTCCTACTGTGGCACATCTGTTTTCATGCATTTACCTTAATTTCTCGTTAAGTAGTACACTGCTGTTGATTATATTGTCATTCTAGATGTCATACAATGAGCTTTCACTTCGATGTAAATTGTTATTTGACTTTAGTGTCCCTTTAACATCTTTCCACATCAACATCACCTCATAGAACAAGCAAATGTCCTATTCCTGGTTCGCAAGTTTTGCAACTGTAGTAGCATGACATATTCCTGCTGCCACTGTGAATAAGCTTTTATAGTCATTCCATTGGCAACAAGAATCTTGACAATGCTGCTATACACACCCACATGGTGATACAGGCGTTACATACATGTTACAACTTGTGTTGTTAGCACTCTTTGCAATTGCACACACGTCACATATAAACACACACAGTTATCACTATTTTTCAAGTGCAGACCTTTTCTGTCGGGGCGATAAGATACACCGCTTCAATGTTTGGCAGAGGTTCTCGCTTTTTATTCAGATCTTCGACAACTGCATGGAAAAAAAAAATACAGGGTGGAGGGGTTAGCTTCAAAGCACAATTTCCGCTGTCTTAATAAAACCTTGTACGAGTTCGTATGTCTTAGCGCAATTCCCACTGGCGTCAAAAATATTGCATCGAAGCCCTGAATTTCATGCAGAATTAAGGTTTAAAAAGGGTTAAAGAGAGAGAGAGATAACTCACTCGTAATTCCTTCAGACGCGAGCTCGTGCATCTTGCAGCAGGCGGATATCATCCGCATCCCCAGCTGATCAACCACAAGAACCTTCCATTCTCCCTTTTTCTTGACCGTGCGGATAACATCGTTCGTGATTTCTAAAATATGAACGCAAATACAATAAGCACGTGCCAACACGAACAGTACCGACCACCACTCTCAAGTGAGGACCACTACGCTATCGGTACGCCTGTAAAAAATTACAACTCGGTATTTTAGAAAGCACAAATGCTACGTAAACCGACAACAGCATCGGCGATAAGTGCAAACTCTGGATTGGAAAATGCCTCAGAAAGCCAGCTGCGCTCAGAGCCGCGCGCAAGTGCGTTGACCGGTGTGATTATAAACAGACGAGACAATAAGGAGGAACGACGCAAAGTAATGCAATAATCGCTACGATTACAACAGTGACTTGTTTTTATCATTATCGGCTCTCCTTCTTTCAACACTTTGGATTCACAGCTAATTTCTGCCGAGCCGCAATAATCATAACCACGGCGAAACTAACGACATTACTACCGTTTCCCACCACAAAACCACTGCAGTAAAAGCACTAGGGGCGAATAGACGAAACACTCTCTTGTCATTGATAATCTGATGAAGCCCAACTAGCGATAGAAGTAAATGGTACGCAAGCGATCACTCTGTTTCATGTGGGCGTCCGTGAAAGATGCAACAGAGCCAAGATGGGCGTGAACTGCTTAGGCGGTTTCTCACACAGGTGCCTCACAAACTTCACGCAAAGCCACTTGAATAAGAACTACCGTACGACACGATTATGTCAATCGAGCACATAAACCACCAAGTCACGCGTAATTTACTGAAACGGAAACTAATGCTTACTTACTCAAGCCGACGACACTCTTCAGTGCCATTACGGTGCCCTACTCGTCGTATCGTCAATAATGCGTCACGCATCTGCGTCAAGCAAGCTTCCGACAGCAGCGAATCAGAACGCAGGGTGGCCGGTGCGGTAGTGCGCCGGTAGTAGCTTTCTTGCTATTCTGAAATCAACTAGATGAAATTATTTTGTGACAATTAAAAATTATGATTTAAATGTGCGTTGGTGGAACAAACCGCAAAGTTCGGACATCAGAAAAGCAAAAGTTCAAACAATAATTCTTACCAGTAGCTTAGTTCGCTTGCCAATAGGGTGCCCAGTGTTGTAGTATGCAAAAAGTGTAGTTAAGAACACAAGCGTGGCTGGTCGCAATCAAGCTACATCGCGTTTGAATGAAAATAACTTTTCTGCCGCCGGATATTTCGCTGAATCAAAGTTTAACTAACGCCTAGCTTGGTACCTAATAATGTGAACTGCATTTGTGGACGAGGAGATGTGCTGTAGTCCTCTAATGAAAGGTTTGTTCACATCCGCGGTTGTGCCACTAAACCAAATCAGTGACCAAATGTCATACATGTAGGCCAACGTTACTGGATGTCCTCATCCAGTAACGTTGATGTAGGCACGCGCAGAACGCGCATCACAGAGACGCGCTCGCACGAGCGTCTTCATTTTCTTTGCTAGTCCGCGTGCGACGAATGGTTGGCGAATGACCTGTAAGCATGGATCTCTTGCCGAAGGCGTCTTCTGAATTCGCCAGTGAAAAATACTGGAACGAGTTCTTCAATAAGCGAGGAAAGGAGACTTTTGAATGGTAAGTGTTGCATTTTGCTGTCGGTGTCGCACGTGGCTAATGTTTACATTTTCATTTGTTTCAGTAACACAATCTTGTCCCTTTTTCTTTCTTTTATTTTCAGGTATGGAGAGCTGTGGCAACATGCAACTGCAGTATTCAAGTACTTGAAGGATCCAAATGACCAGATCCTAATCATTGGCTGTGGAAACTCTACTTTGAGCACAGACCTCTATGACTGCACTTCTTGCAAAAATATCACCAGCATTGATATAAGTGAAGTGGTGATCCGGCAGATGAATGATAAATGTGGCTCATTGCGACCACAGATGAGATTTCTCCAAATGGATGCTGCCCAGGTTTGTGCTTTTAGCGTTTCAGTGAAACTCGTATCAGCCAAGCTGTGCTTGCGTCTGGGCTGCACCGTTCTTTCTTTTGCCCAATTTCCCCAACTGTCTATCTTAGCAAGTCACTGCAGAAGGGTACCGACAATTATTTTGCCTGTTTGCTTTCAGATGGACTTCAAGGATGAGGAATTCACTGTAATTTTGGACAAAGGATTAGTGGATGCACTGACTCCAGACAAGGATTGCCCTGCAAAACTGTACGCAGTGCTCAAAGAAGTGTCCAGGGTTCTCAGAGTTGGGGGCCGGTTTTTGTGTATATCTTTGTTGCAGAGTCACGTCTTGCAAGCTTTGCTCAAGTGGTTCTCCTCTGAGTAAGTAGTTTTGCGATACTCTCTAGTTCTATGAAGCTTTTAGGGATACAATATTCTGTTATGGTTGCCTTTGGGTCATTCCAAGTGAAACGTCGCAGCCCGAAATTCGACCACCAGTGAGTCTGCTGAAAGAAAATTTAGCTGAAAGGTAACTGTGAGATTCAATTGTAAATTAAGCATCAAGGTTGTCGTGCTAAAAATACACGAGTTAGTTCATTATGCGATTCAATGCCTTTTGTTTTAATGTAGAGAATATTATACCTGTAAATTTTGTTTAAAATTAAAAAGAAGTAATTTTTGATGTGCATGACCAACGTCGGGGGTAGGGAATGGGGATATCTGTCGTCTCTGTAAAACGCGTGCTCGTTCTTTGCGATTTTTCGGGCTTGCATCAGGACCACGTCAGTTGTTCTAGCAAGCTTTCGCTAGGTCGCTTCGCATCAGTGTATATATATTAGAACAAACTTGCTTGTTTCTTTTCATAACTAGCTTTCTCGGCACTAGGGAAAGTAATGGTGGCGAACAAAACATGAACAATGGTATCCATTCGCTGATTTTGCTTCACTTTATCTTCCACTGATGTGGGAATTAAATTGTTCCTTGTTCTCAGGTACTTGATATTCGCAGGAAGACAGTGCTTCATGTTTTACCAATAATAAAAAAAGAAAATTATGGCTTCAGTAACGTAAATGTTTTGTCGTTCTACTTTTTTTCGTTGTGATGTGTTGTCCTCTGTTGACACCCTAATAGTTAATATCAAAGTACGCTACCTTGCCAATCGGACCGACTTTTTCAGTTGAATTACACGAGCTTTGGAGAATGATGTAAAGGCAACGTGAAGGGCAGAAAGAGTAGACTGTCTGAAATGGTGCAATTTTCAGGTTCTTTTACAGCTAGCACCATGGCGAATCTCGAAGTGAGCTTGATTTTTTTTTTTGAATTGTTGAATGAAGCAGCCGATTCGCTGTAAGTGCCTTTACAATGCTTTTAGCCCACAGAAAAAAAAGATCGTCTGGTGTCTGAATATGACCATTATTTGGCCTCTGTAGGCTTGCTTTTGTTGCCAGACGTTTTATCGTGCCGCCGACACCATTGCATGCTTTTTTGCCGTGTGAAGTGGCAAAGAAGTTCCACTCGGCTGAAAAGTTGTGGTCCCGCTCGTAATAGCAAAAGTTGAAAACGTTTTTGTTTTTATATTGAGAGAAAGCTCCATCAAAAAAACAATGGATCATTCTCACTTGTGGCAGATCTCGTTTCACTACCTCCAGTACTGCGCACTGAAATGCTTTACTGCGACTTTTGTCATGCTGCGGACAATAAGAACTAACGGCAAAACATTGCACAGAAACACCCCCAGGGGTGCTTTCCTGGTCAGTTATGTAGACAATTACAAGGTGTGCGGTGGCCTGTGCTTTCACCCAGTGGTACGACTAAAGCGTACCATAAATAAAAGTAATTTTCAGTGAAATTCATCACCACAACAGTCTTTTGAAGACTTACTTGGCCTAATTTCTCGGAAGTGTCTGAACTGCTGCTTGCTTACGAAATGATGCCTCTTCAGCTGATTGAGCATGTCTGTAAACCTTCCAGAAAATTCTTGTGCGAGAGCAATGGTTTCGAGTGAGCTCCGCTTATCCATTGCTGCACATGTATGCTGTCTCTGCTCTCAAAAATACGGGTGATGCTTTGCTGAAGCAGATTCACTGCATAAGTTGTGCCGGGGCGGGATGCGCATATGCTGTACATGCAGTATTCATTATTAAGCCCGCATACCAATGTAGCCAAGAGCTCTTCAGTTTGTTTGAGGCCACTGGCATGAAGCATTTAGTTTTGGTGGCACACACGCACACTGTGTGCGTACCACTCTGACCAGCCAGGACACAGTGGTGTGGATGCAGAGAGGCAAATGTGGAGAACCCACACATTAAATTGAAGGTCCTTTTCCATTGCTCATGCATCCCTTTGAGATTCATTAAAATTAGATGCTTCTGTTTGCATTGCAATGTGTTCTTTTTTCTTGGTAAGCAATATGTCGGGGAATCATCCTCATAGAAGTCCTAGATTGATAATTTTACTTCTTCGCTGATTGAGCGGCCATGTTTTTTATCTCGTGCACCCAGATTCCCATTGCAAGCCTTGATCTTCAAGGCTTTGCGAACTTTCGATGCGCCAAAGAACTGCTTGGTTTTCTTGTGTAACGAGGCTGGGACCAAAGTAAGACACTGAAGCTTTTTTTCTGTGCTTTCTTCTTGCACAAACTTATTTTTAAGGTCTCGCATCAAGGTCATGTAATCACTAAAAGCAAAGCCAAAGTCCTCATACCTGTCGCAGGTAGATGATTGACCAATTTCCGGCAATGTATGCACCTTCTTTGGTAATTTTTGGCCCGGTTCGTTTCCCTCGCTTTTGTCGCCCATGTTGCACCAGTATCGTTTCACTACAAGTATCTATGTCTAAAGACTCTTCAGCTGTTTCAGCAGCTGGCTCTCCAGGTGCGAATTCACTTCCTGTGGAGAGCACAGTGAGCTCTTGTTCAGGGTGCACATTCTTGGGAGCAGTATATAACATAAGCCTGCATGCTTAAAGGGACACTAAAGTCAAATAACAATTTACGTAAGAGTGAAAGCTCAATGTGTGCCATCATCTAAAACGACAGTATTATCAACAGCAGTGCCCTACTTACTGAGACGTTAAGGTAAATGCACAAGAACACATGTGTCACAGGACATTCTCAAAATGATCCTGATGACAGCAGACAGACCGCCTACACTTAATCACGAGTAATCGATCTAGTTGCACTAAATAAAAAACGTTCAGTGCATCAATAGGCGCAATAAAATGCTGCTTGTTCGTTTATGTTTGATTCATGGAAAAATAGAACCGCCAGACGTTACTATGGGGAATGGTGTAAATGGTTCAAAAAATCTATTTTCGTGTAGTTACACTGGACCGGTGGTGCCATCTAGCAGGGCGCAGTTGAACAAAAAACGTCTAGTCAATGGCAAAATTAGTCAATGGCCGTTGTTGCTGCCGTGGCTCTCGTTGCTTTTGGTCTGCTGCTACTAGCGCAGTAATGCCGGGTAACGTTGTGCATGGCAACAGTGATGTAAGTTGGTCCACTTCTCGAGGCGGGTAATTTGAAGTGTGCTAACCCGATGCGGACCACTAAAACGTGATTTTATTTCAAAATAGGTGCTTCCTTGGCACAAAAGTAACACTACGAGGTTTCTAGACCGCTATTTCATCAATAAACGTTGACTTTATAGTTGCCTTCAGTGTCCTTTTAACAAATTCGACTTCCTGGAACAAGGTCAAGAGAAAAGGGGGCATTTGCAAGGGCCATTGTAATAACTGTCGACTCGCGACAGTGTCTTGTATGTCGAAACAATGGGTTTGATCACAGCTTTGAAGCAATTTTCAAAGTGTATCAGCGAAGATAAAGTTCCTTTGTGGTGCTCACAAATCGTCGCACCACAAGCGCACCGCTGACATTGGTTGTGCACATCAAAAATTATTTTTTCGTTTTGAACAATATTTACAGGGTATTTACAGGGATAAAATTTTACACATCAAAAGAAAAGGCATTGGATCACATAATGAACTACTCATGTAATTTTAGCACGGCAGCCTTTTATGCTTAATTTACAATTGAATCTCTCCAAAAAGTCACTTTTTGTCAATTTGGCAAACATTTTTCTCAGTAAATGTTTAACAGATTGTATATCACCCGGTGAAAAAGCACAAAACGTTTTGCAGCTGGAACGCTTCTGCAGTTTTTACAAAAATTGCCTGAATTTGCATGTTCTCTTGCTTTTTTTGTTAAGCCTATATTTAGGCCGTAGAATTACGTAATATATGGTTTAAGTTGTAATGTCACGTGAAAGAACAATGAAAACATAATGCTTTAAAACCAAATGTGTCACCATACCAAGTTTGAAGGTTGCCTACGCATAATTTATTCCTGCCCGACTTCCTTTTCGCCGGCACATTTGAATGGTGGTCACGTGACCACACAACCTTTTTGAACAAAAATGCTTCACAGAAATCACTCTCACATAGTTACCTTTCAGCAAAATTTTTTCCACCAGAATCGCTGGTGGTTGAATTTTAGGCTGCGACGTTTCACTTGGAATGACCCCTTAAGCATCTGGTGCCACCTGTAGAGTTAACATAATTTGAATGTTTTCTTAAGCATCCGGTGCCACCTGTAGAGTTAACATAATTTGAATGTTTTTCTCAGTCCAGCTTGGACTTGGGTCATTAGGTTCCACCGCTCTGAGGATGCAGAACCTCAAGATTCATCAAGGCTAGTGCTGCCAATCTTCGTGGTGGTCTTCATAAAACTCAAACGGTTGCTGGGGCTTGAAACAGTTGAGTATTCTTGTTGCCATTCTTATAGCCAGCAGTAGTGTTTTGCCTTGAATGGGTGAGGGTCTATGCCTGGTAAAGTGTCAGTGCAGTGTAGTCTAATTGTAGGCATTTTGTTTGAAGCTTTCCTCAACTAACCGCAGTTCCAGAATATAGTGTAGACATCAGAAGAAACAGAATTAGAAGGACACTTTTCAGGCTCACATTCGGATGCATCTTTGGTGCAAATAGCTGAACCTGTGTAGTGTAGCAAACACTGAATTGACGCTAATCCATAGCTTTTGAAAGCTCAAAAAACATTGGCACCATAAAATCAGTTTGAAAGGTGAACACAGGATAAGTTCTCTATAGCAGTTTGGGGGGGGGGGGGGGGGGGTCAAAGTTTATTGTAGATTATCACCGCATTAACACTAAAATTTGTAATGAACAAGCACAAATGACAAAGGTTGGTGCTGCGAGACAGTTGGAATAATTACTTTATAAATTTTTGATGGATATTTATTCAAGTATACTTGTCATGTGGAATATTGAACCGTCACGAAAATCAGACGTGGACCTCCAGTTCCTAGAGCATACCCTGCAGCTTTCCTAATATTTTGTAGAATGCATTATTTACACGTCATGCTGTGCCTTGCTATTCTAGTCAACAGCATATGTCAGTGAATTCTCTTATGAGTCGACTCACTCAGACTCTGATCGATCCGTGAGTCTGAGTGACTTCAGCTCGGGAATGTTTTGGTGAGTCTGAGTAAGTCCAATGCGCAAAATATATTTCTTCAGCGAGTCTGAGTGAGTTCCACTTTCGTTTGCCAACCTAAGGTACTATCTAGTAATCTTCAGCATTACTATCAAGCTTCCCCAGAATCACGTTTATACTCGTGTGTCTTCAGAGGTATTCCAAAGCAGTGTCGTTAATACACCGTTTCAATATTTATTAATTAGAGACACGAATAACTAGGGGGGTGCCTTGACATCGCCTCACTAACTCTTTCAGGCAGGTTCTTGATTATTATATCTTGTGTTGTCATCTCTCCCAAGAAAAATGACCTTACTTGTTTAAAGGCACACGGAACTCGCTTTCGAATATACTATAGTTTGTCAAACAGCACCAAGAAGAGCACCGATTATGTGAGATATTGGCGATAAAGACCATTGACACCACATTCGAACAAGCTAATTCTAAGCTGACGGACTCATTCGACTCACTCGGATGCACTCAGACTTAGATTAATCTGCAAGTCTGAGTCCGGGTGAGTTATGTTTTCGCGACTTTGAGTCCGCCCGAAAAAATTTTCGGGAGTTCGAGTCTGAGTGAGTCCAAAGCACAAAATATATTTCACGAGTGAGTCTGAGTGAGCTCCACAAGGTTTGCTGACCTATGGTCAATGAACATTTAAAATATATAGCATGTTTTAAACATGTATTACCTAGAACAGCGCCATGTGTATTACTACATACTAAAGTATCTGGATTGAATATTGCTATTGCCAGGGCTCTTTCATTGACTGCTAAATATCTACTCCCATGCTCACTTATACTATTCAGGATGCAAAAGGAGCACTAGAGAACAAAGTAATTCTTTTTTAAATTTATTTGGCTGATAGCGGTGCTTTTGTTCTTGCTGACCACACCTCCTTTATCACCAGCATGTGGTTCAAGTTACCCGACTGGTCGAACGAAAATTATTTGCGAGGTTATATTATGAGGGTGCTTGCTCCTATGCATTAAGCTTCATGAGTCGAGCCATCTTCTATATACATTTTCTGTTGCCAGGTTACCTGCTTTCAGATTTTCTAGTTTTAAACATATATTGAGAAATAAGCAGAGTAAATATGTTTTTATTTACTTGGGCACAGACAGTTTGACATGATATGTAACTTTTCCATTTTCTTATGCCGTTGCCAACCCATTTGCGAGTGTTCTGCTTGCTGCAAATTTTTTTGGCAGCTTGCAAATTTATTCTACTTGAGCAATTTTAGGGAGTCATTTTGGGGAGTTGTAGTTCGCCTTTTGTGCAAGAGAACTAGACCAACTTTTTTTTTTGATGAACATACATCTACTTAACATTATGTGCAAATTGAACCATCACTGTAAAACGCACTATACTGCTGCCGTCATGATGATCATATAGGATCTCCTGTGAGGGAGGCTTGTTGCCTTTATATTAAGCATTTTTCTGCTGCATGTAATATTTGCTCTAAATACTCTGACCTGCACTTAGTACCATTAGCCGATGCCCAGAAATAAAAGACAACTAGTGCGGTGCACATTTTCTTTATAGACATTCTTACTTTCAACTATGTACAACCTACTCATTGTGGATTACACAGATACCAAGCTATATGTGAACACTTAGTAAAAGATAGCCTCATTAGGGATAGGAATTTAATCGATTTTAATTTTGTCACTTTCAAATAACAGGAAGAAATTGAGGACTGCCTTCTCCTTGGAAAGTATATTTTAGAGTGATCAAGGGGTACAGGCAGCCTATGCAGTGCAGTTTTAGTGGAACTTCTACAGAATTAAAAAAAAAAGAAGTAAAAGCTAGGTGCTTCATTTCAATTGGTTATTTTGTAAAATCTGAGTGTTATTTTGCTATTCCTCATGTATTTCATTGCACAGGTGACCGAGATGGCCTTTGACCCTCAATCAAAACCAAAACGTGTTCCTGCTTCTACTCTATGCGAGGAAGTTGCTTCTTTGCAGCAGTATGCATTTCTTCGACTTGACATTTCCAGAAGGTATAAGACCTTAAAATTGCACCCTTTGTTTTTTATATAAAGTAGTGCTCGTTGCTGTGCATTCCTTGGGAGACATTTTTTTTGTTGTTATTGACACTTAGCAGAAAAGTGCGACTATTAGATATGTTGTGTAAAAATTGTGATAGTAAAGCAACTCTTGATCATTGGAACCACTGGTGGCTTGATGGCTTAATTTTATCTGTTGTGTGCTTTTTATTACCTATAGTGCAGCAAGAACCCTATAGCCACTCTATTGTTGAGGCAATAATATATGCCACTCCTTGTCATGTAAGGAGTATAGGCAGTTAGTTTGCATTTGAAATGATAGTGTTAGTGCATAATTTTATTAATAACAGATACAAGCATTAACTTTTTAATACACGTATTGTGTCCATCAACTACGATTGTTATAGCGCGAAAACAGAACGATGACAAAAGGACAAGAAGATAGTGCTCGTCTTCTTTCTGTCCCTTTGTGGTCGTGTTCTCTTGCTATAACAATCGTCATGTCATACCAACTAGCCCAAACCGCCACACTTCTAAGTGTCCATCAACTTGCAGTGCTGCGTCATTCTGCTGCGGTAGCCTAGCAGTTAAGTTGTTGCATTGCTAAGCTCAAGAACATAGGCTCTTCTCTTTTTTTGCCATGTAGCCCCATTTTAATAGAGGCATAATGCAAATGCACCTGTCTACTTATGTTAGGTGTATGTTAACCCATTTCATAGGGGAAGTAATTAAAAAAATTGTAGCAAATTTGCCTGAAGTGTGGCAAGCCGCATTTCCAGTGCATGTACCAAGCACTTGAATATAGAGAGGAACCATGTGCACATCGCCTAGTTTGTATAATGGCAGTTGCAAAGCAATTAGCAGATGTAATTACTACCTGTTCTCGATGAAGGTACTTTTCATTAATGACCACTATACTTGTCAGTGGTTCAGGAAGCGTGAAAAGAACCCCAGGTAATCGTAAAGAATCGGGAATTTCCCACTGCAGTGTCCCTCATGATGTTATTGTAGTTATTAAATCTTTTAAAACACTGTATAGGTTGACTGAGCAAGCTTAAGGTAAATAATAACCAAAGTGCTACAAGGGCGCTTATATTTTGTGAAGGTGTCTGACATCAGGTCATCACCCCTGTCACACAGGGCAACTTGAGTGCTCTTTGGAGGGAGTGCACTTTGCCACTAGTGTCATTTGCATGCTGTCGCATGGGAGCATTTAGTGACACTCGCTGCAAAGTGCACTTGCGGGCGAGTGCGTTTGCCAAACTCGTTATGCTGTGGCTGGAGAATAAGTAACCTATTATTGGAAGTTAATTTAGTAGCATTTTAAACTGTCATTTTTATAATTGAGAATATTCCTGTGCATTACAACATAGTGCTATAAAAAAGCTATTCTGCTATTCTCACTTTCAGGCAGTTTACAGCCATGACGGCTAGGGCCATTGCCCAGCACACGCCGGGCAATGGCCGCAGCTACCACATCTGTATGCAAAGTTTATTTTGATGTCTCTTTATTGCTGTAACGCATTGTTATTTCAGACACATTGCCTGAAATAACAAATATCGGCTCGTCTACTGAATCACCCATTACCATTACCATGATTTCCAAAGTACAGCTCCCTTTATCGTGCTGCAAAAGGGGCACTCGCCCATAATGACGCTGAATTCGCCCGTGTTATCCAGGGTATAAGGCGCTTATTCACTTCTGATGGTTGGCTCATGGCATATTTGCAAAAGCAGGAAGTTAGATGGGTGCATGTGCAAAAGTAAGGAAGCCTTTTGTGCCTTCTTTTCTTTTTCAAGTCTGATGCTATGGCCTTGGTGAATATCTGTATCCTCTGTTTGCCGTTGCTGTCATGTTCTTTACACAAAGTCAACTAGCAGTGCCATTCTGAGAACTTTGGAATTTCATTGTATATTGTTAGAATATGCAGTGCTGATATTTTGAGATGCTCATAGGGGGCTGTAATGGCCATCTGGTTCAATCGGAGCTGTTAAAATGGTGCGCCTGAGAGTGTTTAGAATAGCGCTCACCTCACTTCAGCCAGTGCTTGTAAGCTCTGCAACTGAGCCTGAATTGCAATGATTTCCACATTACGCATTATGTATGCTGCCAGCATTGCACAAGCCAGCTCTGTGTGCACATCCTGGCTTATGTCCACTGCATGACAAAGGCTCTTCCAATGATCATCAATCCTCCCTGTCCTGCACAAACTCGTTCTCCTTTGTGCATCCACATCTCTTGGTATTCGTTCTAATGTTCTAACTTACCATCTGTTATCTGTCCTCATTATGTGAGCTGCCCAGGTATATTTCTTCTCCTTGATGTCTATTGGGGTGTCAGCTACGCCTGGCTGTTACCTGGTCCTCTCTGCTGTCTTCCTATATTTTAGAGTTACCACTGTCAGACCTTGTTGCCATTTAGTTGGTTCATATCGAACGGGTGGCATATGGCGTATGCGTGAGCACAAAGAAAAGAAGCAGAAAAAGTTCTGCACTTTTTCCTATCTCTTCTTCTGCCTCTTTCGTGCTCGCATAGTGGGCCACCCCTACCACTTTTCATTTCATTGCGTGCTCGAGGACCCTTCACTTCTTTTCGAGTTTTTTTTTTGGTATTTTCCATGTTTCTGCCCCACATGTTAAAACTGGCAAAATACAGTAGTTTTACTCTTTCTGTTCTAGTGACAGTGGTAATTTACTGGCCACGAGTTGAGAATGCCTGCCATATTTGTACTAACACATTCTTAGTCTTCCAGTAATTTTTTTTTTACATGATTGGCTCCCCTGTTAATATTTGCCTTAGAAAGACATACTGTTTTACTGCTTCAAGAGTCCAATTGTCTGCCATGAATTTTCGCTTTTTTTCCAGACTTGCTGGCATTATGTCTGCCATCTGCATAGTCATCTACAAACCCTACTGAGCTTTCTCCATTTTTTTTTTCAGTTGTTCCTTGCAGTTCACTGCTGTCATTGCTGAAGAGTACAATGCCATATGCAAACTAAATTGCTCAGATATTATCTGATGATCCCCATTCCTATTTCTTGTCAATCTAGTGGTTAAATACTTCTAGACAGGCTGTCAATAACAATGGAGAGGTTGTATCTTCCTGATGGGCTCATTTCTGATCAGTGTTTTCCTGCTCTTCTTGAGGGAGAACACAGTACACGTGGAATCTCTGCATATATCGGCTATGGTATTCACATAAGTTTAAGTGCTCATTGTTGGCGTAGCACCTCCAGAACTGCAGGCATATCTACAAAATTGAATGCTTTGTCGTAATCTGGGAATGCAATATAGAGTTTTTTCTTTTTCAATTCGGCAGTTTTCTCAATCATTCAATGAATGGCATGAAGATGATCTGTGGTAGTGTACGCTTTCCTGAAGCCAGGTTGTTTTCAAATGCATGATAGCAAATTTCGCACTCATTCACTCACTTGGCTACGTGATCAAAGCATGGTTTCTATGAGTTTTACTGCCCAGACATTCTGTCTGAGGACTCCTCTATGAAAGAAGGTGTATTACTTCCGTCACACTTTCTGTAGCATTCTTGCCAGTGCCTCTCGCTATTTTTCTTTCTTGTGGGCTTTTTGCAGGCCAGAGCAGGATTTAAAGCAGCAAGGAGAATTGAACTGGCAGCTGTGATGATTAATAGCAGCTTTTGATGTCAATTAGACTGAAAACTTGATGTTTTGTGTGTTTTCATAAAACGCAGCAAGTGAGAGGCTAAAACGTTGCTGGCTGTAAAAAGCTTGCGATTGTGGTGATTGTGATTGTCATTATCATTGAGCTCTGTTGGTACATTGAACTGTAAATGGAAAGCACATAGGTAACTACACTGAAAGTGAGGCCCAGTGTGAAATAAAATGACATAGGCTGGTATTGCGTGACGCCATCTTAAAATCTAAGCCTTTGGCCCCTGTTGTGTCTATATATTGATTGTATTCTGGTTTATTCATAATTTATTAGATCGGCACTGTGCGAGTGCTTTTCCACACGAAATAAAATAGGAACAGGCATAAAGGCTATGAAACAGCCCAAGCCTTTATGGCACAGAAAAGGCCCAGGCAATCAAGAGTGTTGTAATAGGCCACTATGTCAGGTAGTGGTTATGTGCACAGCAGTTTAGGCACAAATATCAAGCAGACCAAGTTAGGACATTAGGCTTTGTGCTAGTATGTTATCTTTTTCGCGACATAAAATTGCTAAGGACCTTCTGAGGCATATCTCGATTCACTGTTTTTCCTCTGGCATTATGAAAGTTGTAGTTTGGGTGTCTGGTTAAAAAGGGCCTCTTCAAATCCACCCCCCCCCCCTCCTTTCTTTTTAGAGTGAGCCTTGGACTTGAAGGTCTTTTTTTAATTCATTCAAACTGGATATAAAGCAGTGCCTGTGTGTTTGTGATATGATAACTGCCGTGCTACGACTCGTAATCTATGTTCATTGCGTGGTGTACTTCTCTCTTGCGCTATCTGGTGTTTGAAACTGTGTTATTCGTGCTGTGGATCATCTGCCACTTAACGTGTGCTCCACTTTCCGAATGTTCAATAAGCATGGCAGAGCCAGATATTTTGCAACAGTTGGTTTTAATTTTGCATTGTTTCTGACATCTGCACAATGAGTGACCAATCCTGGCAATGCAGCAGTTTATGGGCCAGTGACAGATAGATGTGGCGTCATATTGTTTTAATACCCTTCAGGAAAGGCACCTTCTATATAGTGCCCTGTTCACCTCTATGGTTCTCTTGCATTGTTCTCCCGTTTTGAGCACAGTTTTGCCATATCTATTTTTCTCAAAATTTTCCTGCTTAGATATGAAGTCTTTCTTGTTGTTTCGTAGTTGTGAATGTGTGTTTAGCTTCTCCTAATGAGTTTTACAACTCTCTTTTCTTCAGGAAACTTCAAAAAGGAGAAGATGTCAGTCTGAACCTCTTTGTATCATGGAGTGACGTACCTCGCTACCGTCTCTTTGTCTGCGATCTACAGGTTCCAAGTCAAACACAGCTAAGGTTTGCCATCTTCATTGTACCCCAGGGCAGGTAATAATTTTCTTTGTGCATGACAATTGAAGTGTAATTGCATTCTAAAGGGTCATCAACCCGTGAACTCGGAACAAGTGCAGATTCGTATCTAAGTACAGTACGACTCTCGATAATTCAAACTCTGATAATTCATACTTTTGGTTAATTCAAACTAAATTAATTTTTTAATTGGCCCTATATTCTTTCAATATATTTAGAAGCCTCTTAATTCCAACTCCGTCATTTGATTAATTCATACTTTTTGCAGTTCCATACCAGAAAATATCTGCTGCTTTCCCACTACTATTTAAACATTTGCATGCTAATAATTCCAACAGTCTAAAAATGAAAAATAAGCACCTCAGGCCTTCAAGAAAAAGGACTTTGCTAGTAAAGAAATGTTTGAAACAAAGCACACACCGTATTTACTCGCATAATCGGCGCACTCGCATAATAGGCGCACCCCTAGTTTGGTCGCGGAAAATTCGATTTTTTTTAATTCCGCGCATAATAGGCGCACCCCAAACTTGGCCGTGATCAGAAACGATTCTACCCCCCAGCGGTACAGTTGGAACGCGGTCCCCGTACCCTGAAGAAAAAAAGAAGGCAAATTAAAAAAATTCGAAGTGCAACGACCTAACCAACGTGTTTGTCGAAATAAAACTTGAAAAAAAAAGCGTCCATGAGCGAAAAAAAAAACGGCTGTTCCATCAATTACTGATACCCCCCAAATCGCCGCGCTTTTTTTTGGAGGTCACGTGTACAACGCCGGGGGCTCGATCGCCATCACCACCATCAGAGAAAAAGAAAGAAACACCATTTTGCAAGCGGTGTGTGTATGTTGTGGTCGTGTATTGAACTTTGGTTCCACCATGGGGAAGTACGCGAGCTACACGGCTGGGTTTAAACTGAAGGCAGTGCAGTACGCGCTGGAGCACGGCAACCGGGCTGCAAGCAGACATTTCAGCGTTGGAGAAACCAGTATTCGGTACTGGAGGGACCAAGAAGAAAAACTTAAGGCGACGAAGAAGACACGACGGGCTTTCCGCGGTGCCAAGACCGGCAGGTATCCGAACGTCGAAGAGCAACTGGTCCAGCATATACGGGAGCTACGACAAGACGGCTGTGCTGTGTCGTTGGATATTGTGCAGACTGAGGCGCGCAGAATAGCCCGAGCGCAGGTCATCGAAGCTGAATGCTGAATTATGCTGAATTAATCATGCTGAATTAATTGGTAAACGATAAAGTCGCCTTTTACTTGACAAGTGTGCAGATTTAAAGCGCGAGAACCGAGTTGAAAAAAGTTTCGAAAATTTTACCCCGCGTAATTGGCGCACCCCTAACTTCGAGCCGGATTTTCTGGAAAAAAAGTGCGCCTATTATGCGAGTAAATACGGTACACTGTGAACCGTAATGCTTCTCAACTGGTATAGAGAGCTTTGTGCCGAAAGCACGTACCTATAGCAAAGAAGTAGTTGGAAATTCATTAAAAGGTCGGATCAGCAGTAAATGGCCAACAAACTTGTGGACCTTGCGCTTCTGCTTTCTGTTCATTTTGTGTAGTTAGGGTTCAAAAACACTTTAAAAATTTTTAAATGCAATAATATTAATGCCTAATCATAATGTGTGGTGTCGCCTCACCCAGAGTCATCTGCAAACTTCCAATAATTCAAACTTCTTGATACCTCAAACAAAATGCAGATGTCCCATCAAGTTTGAATTAATGAGAGTCAACTGTATATAAATTCCTGCAATTAAAGAAATAATAATTTTGTTTTGCAAACTTGTCCATAGTTTGGTATAACTTAAGAAGGCAGGAGAAGCCCCACCCAGATGACTGATGTGCAGCAGCCAATTTGCTTCGCGACTAAAGAAATAGTCCCGCTCAAAAAATTTCGACTTCTTGTAAAATGCGTATTTGTCGGTATAAATAAGATTTCTGTACCATGACAAGTGCTTTGGTAAAGCTGTAATGATGGAAATGCTACAGCACATGCCTGATCATGAGAGAAAAATAACTCTGTGCCTTCTACAATGCTGTGTGTCGTCTGCTACGGAGCAAGATCGACGGCACTGGGTGTGCAATTGTAAAGCAGTCGCTGGTTTCATAGCATCAGATTCATATGTGCTTTTTTTGTGTTTGCACAAGCTTTTTTTTGTTTTTATTGTGTCAGGCGTTTTTTTTTTCTCAGTTACAAACCTGCAATCTCGATAGTTCGCGCGTGGCATTCCGTGCCAGAGTTATTCAATTATACCAGTTGCGAAACTGCGTTCCAGAATCCAGACACGCAGTTGGTCGAATTTTTCAGGAGTTAGCTGAGGTTCGCGCTACCTGGAAGCAGCAACACTAAACACAAATAATGCGTTTAATAGTGGGTGTGCGGATCAACAGGTGGCGCGACAATCTACTCACTCCCGACAAGGGGGCCAATGACGTGTTCGAATTTTGATACATGGATCCTATGGGGAGTTTCGCATCTCATATGATTGAATAACTGTTCCTTGCAAGTTTTCCACCATGTAGCTCAGTGAGGTCACATCGAAAAGCGATCCTTTGTTGCCGTATGAGCCTTGTGTCGCCACAATGGCCACCACCAAGGAGCTTCAGCAAGAACAAGAGCGGCCATATCCTGAACAGCGATTTACGCTATATGATCTTCCACAGCTACACGTACTGGTGTAACAGGGAGCCTGAACGCAGCGTGGAGGACATGAGCAAGTTTGTCGCCGACATGCTAGGTGTCGGCGAAAGTACTGTGTTCAAGGTGAGGGAGGAAGTTGAAGCTTCGCATATTTCGAGTAGCAAACTAATGATGCCCTCGTGAAAGCGCCCACGCAATTCGGAGCAGAGAAGATGCAGCGCGAAGTTTGACAGCTTCACATTGTGCGCGCTGAGGTTATCGTATATACTTGCATAATGATCGCACTTAAAAAAAAAAAAATTGACTCCAACTTCGGGATGCGATCATTACGCGGGGTAATTTTTCATGAAAAAATATTCTGAGCACCGGAAACGCAAAAAAGTCACTAATCGGAATTCTTACAGTAGCTATCATGAACATAATCAAAAATAAAAGTAAATTAAGGCTTACCTTTGTTATAAAATGCACGCATTATGCAGGAGCTACATGCATGGCACACTACCCTTTTATTCTTTATCTCTCTGACCCACTAACGTTCATTCAGACTCCGAAGCATCACTGGCGTCAGTGTCGTCGCTGCACGATTCCCTGTCGGAACCGGCAGTGTCTTTACTGTCCCACAGAGGGTCATCTTCCGTTCGGTCGAGCGCGTTGGAAATGGCAGCGACAGTCCATTCCGCCGCATGAAGCGTGTTGTCCAGCTGGAATTGGCGCGGAAGTCCTTTGTGGCTATTCCCAGCCTCCGGGAAACTGTGCACGCCTGCGTTCGTATCATGTCTAATGACACTGCATAACTGTCCTTGCACATGTTTTTCACGTATTCGAGGACTGCCTTTTCAATGTCAGGAAACTTGCCAGATTTGGGTCCGCGGAAAGCCCATTGCGTGCCGTTAGTAGCCATGAGCTTGTTGCGCTGTTTTTTTCCAATATAGGATTCGGATTTCGTTGACGCCGAAATGTCTGCCGGCAGCGTGCAGTTGCCATGCTCTAGCGCGTAGTCAAGCGCCTCTGCTTCAACGCGGCAGTAAAGCTCGCATACCGCCCCATGGTGAAACGGCGCTTCAACAGACGATCACAAAGCACACTCACACACACAAAAAAACGTGGTCTCAGGAAAAAAAAACATTTCTGCGGGATGAACACAGGTCGACCAACAGGCGGCCGCCGCTGTAACAGTGCGTAGAGTTACTGTATATGCTACCTTTAGGTAGCAGAGTTACGCCACTGTTTTCCGGGCGCCGCTCACTCCGCCTACAGGACTTTAGCGCCCCTATTCGCCGAGCGCCATCACGTGGTCATAAGTGGTTGAAATGCACTGCGGAGAAGCCAACGCTATGATGATTCCGGGCAGATCTAGCGTGGCTGACATCGGCTGTTGTTTCACATCAGCTGGCGTGAGCCGCGATTGTAATACGAGAGCAATAGAGAGCCGTGCGTAATATGGGCGTCGCATGGGCACTCTCGATCGCTGTTCAGCTCGATTCAGTTGAAGACGATACAACTACACCTGGCTCCCTTGCACAGTGAACGAATGAGTATAACATGATGAAAAAATTTCATCCTGACTGGTTCGATTGCGTTCAAAAGTGCAAAAATAATTTCATATTTGTAAATGGGAAAAACAGCAGAAAAGGTGAAGCTAGCGTAACCAACCATAAATATGTATCTCACTGGTTCAACGAGCTACGCACTTTATTTTATTATTACATACCAAGAACGTAAGCATCATATCAAGGCTTCTAGGTGTGACCGGAGCAACCGAGTTTATACTTTGAAAAAAAAATTTAAAGAAGGCGAAAAAATAAATAAAGCAACGCTAGTACCATAATCCCTCAATATTGAGAGCTTATGTAGCACTGAAGCACGAGCGTTGCTCCTACAAGGGTGGTGAGTGGCTTTCCCACAAGACATTTGAACCCAAGATGGCGTACCTTGGCGCAACTCTGCTACCTAAAGGTAGCATATATAGTAACTCTAACAGTGCGGGATGTCAAAACAAACATGGCGGCTGACGAAGTGAAGCACTTCGTGGAGTGAAGCCACCGCATTTTTTTTTTCTTCTTTGCGTCAGTTATGGAGGTTGTGAGTACGTCACACGCCTCAAGACAGTTTCTTCCATCTAAATAAGAAATGCTTTCATTTAAATCAGTAAATTTACGGCATTAGCATAGTGATGCCCGCTTTCAGATCACCGAAACAATGATAGGCGCGTTCAGCTAGACTTGGCACATGACATGTCGATGTGGCAAGTTCAGGGTGTGATCATTACGCGGGGAAAAAGAAAAGTCGAATTTAGATGACAAAATTTAGGGGTGCGATCATTACGCGAGTAAATACGGTATGTGTGCACGATTTCTTTTGCCGCAACGAGAGATA